TATATATATATATATATATATATATATTTATTTATATATATGAAGTGTCATTGTTCAAGTGGGTTGATGTGATACTCTATTTATTTGTCATTAATGTACTAATATTACTATTAAAATATTTAAATTATTTTAAACAATATTAAATGAGTATATCTAATTAATAAATATAATCAATATAAACAATAATAAAAAAATATATATTAAAATAATTCTTAGGTAAAATATTAATAAATATTATTTGTACAAAGATTAATGACTTGTGAAATAAGTATTAAAAAATTCATTAAATATTTATCTAATTGTTTATTATAATATTGTTTTAATTCCATTATCTTATTTATAGATTTTTAATAATTCATCTCCAATGAAAAATTCAGATATGAAAGCATTACAATCAAGTGGACTTCTTTTATTTTAAGTGTTAATAAATTGTAGAAATTTGACTACAATTTAGTAATATACGTATGTTAATGTAATATTTGGATTAATATATAGTTTTATGTACAAATAAAGTATTAAATATTGTTGATAAGGGAAGCTTGGCTTCTTTACATCTTAGTTTTTGATGATGATTGGTTAAATGATTAACCATGATTTTTTGCATAGCAAAATGACATAACAAATGTTTATATCTTATCATGTTTATGCTAGATGATTGAATCCATTCAATCATGTCTAAAACAGATTAAAAATATAGTTTATGGTATAAATAACCGATTACAGAAAGTGTATAATTTGTTAAATTTAACTAAAACACTTAGAAAGCTTAAAAGGGGCAAATCACTTTGTTATGATCTATTATATAAGTTACATAACCTATTAAAACTGAGAGCAAGACATAATCTGTTATATAAGTGAGATAATCTGTTAAGGATGGAAAATGGATAACTAAAATGGTTAAGTGTTAATATAATCGATTACATAAGTTTGATAATCGATTAAAACAAAAAGGATAGTCTAATATATTACAAAAATAACCTAATCTGTTAAGACCATTAAAAGAAGTAATAATAGGCTTAAGAGTTTAAATAATCGAATACACATATAAGATAACATATTATGAACTTAACATAATCGTTTATTATGTGATAGGATTTGAAAATCCTATATATGTAACTTGAAACTTGTTTCAATAACATTTCAATTTTCAAATACTAACATTCTTGTTAAGTTCTGATTACAGGTGATTTCCAGAAACATTCTTGGAGAATCAAAGCTTATTTGTTGATTACATATCAAAGATTCTTTCAAAGATTTTGAATTACATTGGTTTTGATTCAATCTTCACTTGAAGAATGTGTTAAAGATCAGGTTTATCAACAATTTGTGCATTGTGTACCTGTGCAGGGATAACCAAGTTTGAAGAGCTGAGATTCCTCTTGTATTTGTAAGAGATTGAGTGTGTTCATCTCTTGTTTTACTATTTTGATTTTGAGTGGTGAGAGGAGTGCAATTGAGGGATTGTCATTGTATTCTTGTATACTCAATCATTATAGTGGATTCCCTTCAACTAAGGTTGTTGAAAGAGGAGTGGATGTAAGCTTATGATAGCCGAACTAGTATAAATTGTTGTGTCTTGATCTTTTTCTCTTTCTCGTTATCTTTGTTGATTCATTTGCCTTTGATTATTGATTTCAAGTTTCAAGAACTCATAAATATTTTAAAAAGATTTTAAAAAGTGTTAAAACAAATTCACTCCCTCTTTGTTTGAGATATAAGGCTTATCTTTTCTAACAAATATTATTAGACAATTTAATGTATGAAATGAATTTCATTTTCCTTGTTTAATTGAATATGTTGATTTTCATAAATTAGTTGTAAATTGATTGGATGAGATGATAAAACAAAAAAATTGATTATAAATTTATTGAATGTCAAATGTAATCTTTAAAAAAAACTGAGTTTTTATGACATAGATGGCAATGTATGTCATAGTAAGCTAATTTTGAATAACATATATTATGTTAAGTGAACAAATATATGTTATAATACATTAAAGATATTATTATAGTTGAAAATAACTACGTCATAAAAGCTCACATATATTATCATAGGTAAATCGAATTACGTCATAATATATTAGACATATTATGACGATATAACAAATGACAGAAGTACGTCATAGTAGATTGAATCTATCGTACTTTTTACTACGTCATAAAATGTGCTGACTTATCATAATTATCCTAATTATAAGGTCAATCCATTTATAATAATGTATTTATTTTGCTCATCGTCAAAAGTTTTTTTTTATATCAGTGTTTGCAGACAAACCTTCTAACTAACACTCCATTGGATATAATCAATCGTTTCCCTAAACTTTGACCGAAAGATTTTTGAAAATAATCCCACGGTGCTTAAAAGTTGGATTAGTGATTGTTATGGTTGCATGATAGTCTTCTAAGTTTGAACCATGCGGTACGCAGGTTTTACATTTTATTGTATATCTTATGCAGCACTTTAGAGGAGCAACGTGTTCTGTTCTTAAATAGTCCACGCAAAAAGCTACTATTTTCCAAATACGTATTATCCGCGGGTACGAACACACAACTTCACGTGATAAAAACACACATTTGATAAGCTTTTACTTAATGATTTTTAATCAATATTCTTAAAAGTTTAAAAAGAAAACATATACAGAAAAATTAATTTTTGTGGTGGGGTTCAATCAGCACAAATAAGCAAAAGAGACAATAGATAATTATTGATTATGTCTTGTTTGTATACGCGGATGGAGGAGCGAGAGGCTGCGGAAAGAAGACACACTAAAGACATAATTTATAATATATATAAAATGGAAATATAATGGTTTTTTTCCATTTTATCTTTTCAATTATTATTTTCTAAATTTAAATCTTAATTTATAATATAAATCTATTTTTCAATTTTATCATTTTAATAATTATTTTTAATTCAAAAACTTATTTATTATAAAACAATTATTTATTTATTTTTATCATTTTAGTAATTATTTTTGTAAATTTAAATAATTAATCATGATCCAAAAAAACTTTACATAATATTATATATAATATTTTAATTTCAATAAAAGAAACTTATTTATCTATAAATATATCAATAATTATATATACCTTTTATTTTTTTTTAATTTTAACATTTTAATTACTATTTTTAAAATTTAAATAATTTATAGCTATTTAAAAATACGTATATATACTAACTTATAATATTATTTATACTTAAGTTACGTATTTAATTATGTCATAAATATTTCTACTTTTAAAAAATAATAATAAATAGTTTTAGAAAGTAAATAAATAACATTAATAATAATTTAATTATTATTTTTGTATTTTACCTAATTAAATAACTTCATTTCTATTTTTAATTTTTTGCACTTTTAATCAAATGTTTGATTTTAAATGAGACTCTTTCGGTATCACATTCATCTAGAAAGAGGAACTTTTCCTATGTGTTTTGTTATGAAAAATAGATTCTTATCCAAAGACTGGTAATTTAAAAACTTTTAACTGTTATTTATGTCAACATGGTTTAACTGTTGTATATGTGTATTACGATCAGGCTTATTTATTATTAATTAAATAAAATTTCAATCATATATAATTATTTTTTATTTTTATAATTTAATTTTAATATTTATAAAATTATAATTTTTTGTTTAAAAATGTTGACACCAAAAAATACTCCATCTTTTTGTTAAAATCTAAAATAATTTAAGATGAATCGATGAGAAAAAAAGATATATTATTTTTTAATTGGTGTTGGAAGAAATGAAAAGTATATGTAAAAGTTTCTTTTTGATATTTGCATGTATAAATAATGGTGTCAATTATTCAACAGTTTTATGATAATGTAATTATTAAATTTCTCTTCCTTTTTCAGACTTTCTTTCTCTAAATATAAATAATTGAGTCCTCATTTGTTCTTAAACTCACCAACTTCATTTTCTAATTTGCTTTTCAGTTACCTTAATTACTTCCTCCCACCTTTTTTCATATATAGTCGAATCTTCCACCGCCATGGCAGCCACCACAGCCTGTCTCTTTCCAGCCGCGCCTTTTCTCTGTCATCCGCCGTCGCCGGTCGGAAAACTGTACTCCAACCGAACCTCAATTATGACTACGCGGGTTGCGACGTCGGTGGAGCGAGTTCTGGCGACGACGGCTGATATGGAGCGTGCAGATGAGAAGAAAGAGAACGACAAGGTAGGGACAAATGGTTGGAAAGAATATTTGGAGCAATCAAAGGAGTTGATCGNTCTTTCTCTAAATATAAATAATTGAGTCCTCATTTGTTCTTAAACTCACCAACTTCATTTTCTAATTTGCTTTTCAGTTACCTTAATTACTTCCTCCCACCTTTTTTCATATATAGTCGAATCTTCCACCGCCATGGCAGCCACCACAGCCTGTCTCTTTCCAGCCGCGCCTTTTCTCTGTCATCCGCCGTCGCCGGTCGGAAAACTGTACTCCAACCGAACCTCAATTATGACTACGCGGGTTGCGACGTCGGTGGAGCGAGTTCTGGCGACGACGGCTGATATGGAGCGTGCAGATGAGAAGAAAGAGAACGACAAGGTAGGGACAAAAGGTTGGAAAGAATATTTGGAGCAATCAAAGGAGTTGATCGTACCGGACGGTGGACCGCCGCGGTGGTTTTCGCCGTTGGAGTGCGCTGGGCGTTTGGATAATTCTCCTCTACTGCTCTTTTTGCCGGGTCAGTAATTTTTTTTCTCATCATTTAATTGCCTTCTAGTTACTCAGTTAATTTATGTATTTAAATCAATTCATTAATTTAATTAATTGATATTAAATTTATATAAATTCAAATTTTAGTATAAAATTATTTTCAGTATTGTTGAAATTAAAATGTTCTCTTTTCATTTAATTGCACTAATTATGTAGAAAGTAATAATTAAGTAATTTATAATTATCTTTTATTTTGTTCTAATAGTTCGGCTATTTATTTGCTGTGATGGTAAAAACTATCAACGTATTGTTTAACTATCATTCAATGCTGCATAATAAGAAAAAAACACTATTATGTAATACATAAGCTCAAATGATGTTAAGGAATACACAAGCTCAAATAATGAGTGTTTTTTCTTTTCAGAAATGTCGTGCATACGGAAAGAAAACAAATTGAAAGACTGAAAACGAAATTTAATATAGGAGAATGAAGTTCGTAATTCAATTTTCCACTCTCCATACAAAAGATTTGCAAAAACAAAAAACTATAATAATCAATAATACTTTTAGTGTTAAATAAATAATAATAATAAAATATTTATGAACCATAATAGTAGCAATAATAATAATAATAAATATTTTATTATTATATACTTTTACATGACTAATTAAATTATGAATACAATTGATAATTTTTTTTACTAATTATATCATTAATACTTTATTAATGTGTGTGTATATACATATATATATATATATATATATATATATATATAATAAATAAAATACAGCAAACTAAATTAATTTTAACATTCTATTAATATATGTTTCTTTATTATAAAAAGTTACTTAATTTATGTTTTTTTAATTAATTTATTATATTAATGTTTATTAATATATATGTTTTAATATTGTATTAAAATAGATAATCAAGACAAAAGTATTAAATATTTTAATTAATTTTAATTTTGATATTTTGTAAAGTAACATATTTCAATATATTATTATTTTGAAATATAACTTTATTATTTATTAGAATTTTATAATAATTTTTAATTTTGAATTTATTTTAACTTTGATTAATATTTAAAAATTAATTTCTACTTTGAAAATTTATTTATATATTTTTTTATGAATATATATTAAAAAATTTATTTTATTACATCAAATACTAATCTTTTACTAGTTTTATTTTATTTTTCATTTTTTTTTCAGTGTAAACAGTCTTATTTTCCCTTTAATAAAAATAACTAAATGATTGAAATGATAGTTGCTTACTTGTAACTTATATAAATAAAATTCTTTTCAATTCATATTTTATTACTATTAAAAATTTATTAAAAGTTTGTTAAAATTAGTGATTTTTTATATGCATATCATTTAGTTTTTCTATCTCTTAACTATTTTTGTTTTAATAAAATTTACGATATTCTTTTATGTGTAATGCAAATATCTGACGCAAATATAATAGCTTAAAACCTACATTTTGTAAGATACTTTATTAGAACTAAATTCAAAACTTAGGTCAATATAAATTATTAAAGCGAAGATTTTATACAAATTATGTAAAAATTTCAAAAATAATGTAGCACAATAAAGTTGACATAAAATAAAATAAATTTTCATAAATGATCTTGTATTGGAAACCTTAAGTTTAGATATTCTTTTTATTGTTGGACTTTTGTAAAATTCCGATATCCTTAATATGTCTTTCATTTTCTTTGTTTTGTTTTGTTATTCTTATCTTTCATTTATCAAACCTTTCAGTTACTCTTTCCTTTACTAAAAATAGGAATATAGCCAATTTATCATTACTCTATTTGAAGAGCTTATTTTTGGCATTTTTCCATGCGAGAGCGTGACCACGGCCGGAAATGTTTGTGTAGTAACTCTTTGATGTAACCCCCTTATATTATTTTCACATAATTTTTTTGTTCTCTTTCAAAAACTTATATTATAATTGAACACTGTATTAATTATCTTTTAAATATTCTTAATTTATTAAGATATTTTACTAAAAAATAATAAATACTCCAAATTGATAACATAAAGTTTAATCTTAATCCGATTTGAAAATATAAATATTTAGAAATATTAAAATTCCAGTCCACTTATTTATATCTAAATATAGTAAAAAGATTATGAAAAAATAATATAAATTAAACCAGTTTATAAAAATAATTATTTTCGTTTTAAGTTTTATTCAATGTGGTCATTTTTAAAAAGAGCTTACTTTAATAATTTGTGATTGGCTTAATACCCTATTTTGTCCCCAGTTTCGTTCGACAATGTCAAATTAGTCAATTCTTTTAAAACGTGTGTCAATTACGTCCCTATTTAATAAAATTTATATCAATGAAATTTCTTCCGTCAAATCCGTACAAACGATAGCTGCTAAAGGCTTGGTTTTCTTTTTAGTTTTTTTAGAATTCTTCAAATTGAGTTATGGAGGTAAAAATAGGAAGAGTTTTATTTTCAGAAAGAAAATACGAAAGAAAAATACTTAAGTCATTGTTTAATGGATTTGATGATTTTATTGCTCTATTTTACATCATAATTTTCGAAATACATAGAATTTTTGATATTCTCGAGCCGTACGAGGATAAAACTTCCTATACGTTTCTAGGGGGGTATCTATATCTATCCCAACGGGCTGTTTATCGAATTGTTGCAAGGAATGTTCGACCCCAAAGAGAGGGAAGAGATCTTCAGAAAGTGGATCCTATAAAGAATGAAACCTATTTCAATATTCCTGTTAAATATTCCTGTTATTCTTTCATTTCTTTGACAAGGGGCGCTTAACCTACAGGAACTGTTCAGCATATTTAAAAAAAGGCAGGTGTTTTTATAGAACTTAGCTCGAATCAACAAACGAAATTCAATGAATGAAATCAAAAAGGGGGTGTAGATTATTTGTATATATATTTACAAAACTCCCCGCTCTCTTGTTATATTCATACTTCATTTTTTTATTTCTTGTTGTTTATATAGAATCATAGAATGCAATTTTATATAGTCAGACAATTCATGAAATTTGAATGAATCTTAAAAAAAAAAATGAAAAATTGTATATAAAAGAGAGAATATAGGAAAAAAAGAGTAACTAAATATAGTAATTGGACTTTTCAATAGATTACCCCCTATGATATGAGGTGATTTTTTTATTTCATATTTCTTATTATTTTATTATCATTTCTTTTTAATACTGACTCGCTCTTTCTTTTTTTCAGTGACTAATCCTAGTTATTTGATTTATATACTTTTTTTTGATAGTAAATACATGATATTCAAAATTGAATATTTCTATTATTTGATTTTTCATCCAATGACTATACATTTTTTTTATTTTTATGGAAATACAGGAAAAAACTCTATGGAAAAATGGTGGTTCAATTCTAGGTTACTTAATAGGAAGTTCGAATACAGGTGTGAATTAAGTAAATCAATGGAGAGTCTTGGTCCTATTGAGAATACCAGTCTAAGCGAAGAACCCAAAATTTTAACTGATATAGATAAAAAAATTCAGAGGTGGGATGATCGTCATAATTCTAGTTATAATTATTTTGATTATTTAGTAGGTGCTGATAACATACAGGATTTCCTATCTGATAAAACTTTTTTAGTTAGGGATAATAAGAGGAACAGTTATTCCATATATTTAGATATTGAAAAGAAAACTTTGGAGATTAACCACAATCATTCTTTTCTAAGTGAACAAGAAAATTTTTTTTCTAGCTATCTGAATACTGTTATTAAGAGTGATTACGATCATTCCATGTATGATACTCCTTTTAGTTGGAACAATTATATTAATAGTTGCATTGATAGTTATTTTCATTCTCAAATCTGTGTTGATAGTTGCATTTTTGTTGATATAGACAAATACAATGACAGTTCTTTTTATAGCTACTTTTTTGGTAAGGGCAGAAATGGTAGTGAAAGTGAGAATTATAGTTTTAGTTTAATAACTAGTACGAATGATACCAATGATAGTGATTCCACTCTAGGAGAAAATTATAAGAATCTCCATGAAAGTGAAAAATTGACGCATTTGTGGATTGAATGCGAAAATTGTTATGAATTAAATTATAAAAAATTTTGGAAATCCAAAATGAATATTTGTGAATACTGTGGATATCATTTGAAAATGGACAGTTCAGATAGAATCGAATTTTCGATTGATTCGGGTACTTGGAATCCTATGGATGAAGACATGGTTTCTCTGGATCCCATTGAATTTCATTCAGAAGAAGAACCTTATAAAGATCGTATTAATTCTTATCAAAGAAAAACAGGATTAACTGAGGCTGTTCAAACAGGGACAGGTCAAGTAAATGGTATTCCTGTAGCAATTGGTATTATGGATTTTAAGTTTATGGGAGGTAGCATGGGATCCGTAGTAGGTGAGAAAATCACCCGTTTGGTAGAATATGCTACTAATCAACTTTTACCTCTTATTCTCGTATGTTCGTCCGGAGGAGCGCGTATGCAAGAAGGAAGTTTGAGCTTGATGCAAATGGCTAAAATTTCTTCTGCTTTATATTATTATCAAAAAATTCAAAAATTATTCTATGTATCGATACTTACATCTCCTACTACCGGTGGAGTGACAGCTAGTTTTGGCATGTTGGGGGATATCATTATTGCCGAACCAAACACTTATATTGCATTTGCTGGTAAAAGAGTAATTGAACAAACATTGAATAAGACAGTGCCCGAAGATTCACAAGTAGCTGAATATTTATTCCATAAGGGTTTAATTGATTCAATCGTACCGCGTAATCTTTTAAAGGGAGTTGTAACTGAGTTATTTCAATTCCATAATTTCTTTTCTTTGACTAAAAATGAAAGAAATTATGGAATTGAAATAAAAAATAAAAACATACAGGATCAAAATAATAAAATAAAAGAATAATAAAAAATACTAAGAATAAGAAAAGGGTATATTATGATATATATCGGCTTAGCTATAATCACTAGAATTCCTATATACTAAGTATAAAGATATAGGAATTCTAGTGATTATATACTGTCTTTTTTAATAAAAATAAGAATAAAAATCGACAAAAATAAAAATAGATATAGTACAAATAGTCAATCGAGGTACCCTTATTTATGATAAACTTTCCTTCCATTTTTGTTCCTTTAGTGGGTCTAGTATTTCCGGCAATTGCAATGGCTTCTTTATTTCTTCATGTTCAAAAAAACAAGATTTTTTAGATACGGCGGTCAGTAGGGAAAAATATTCTAGATATTTTTTTGAGAGCTGGAAGCAATTGGATGAATTCCCCCTAAAGGTTTACATTTCAGTAGCGCCAGTTGATGAAAATTACTTTAGAAACAAGTAAAATTCTGGGGTTTTTTATTCCACAATTATTATTCTTAAAAATAAAAAGAGGGGGTAATGAATATTTTAAAAAAAAGATCAAAAGAAGTATTGATCTATTCTATAACAGGGTCTCGAAAAATAAGCAATATCTTTTCAGCCTTTATCATTTTTTTAGGTTCTTTGGGGTTATTGTTGGTTGCAATTTCCAGTTATCTCGGTATGGATCTTTTCCTTTTTTCTGAGGAAATTAGTCAATTTCCATTTATTCCACAAGGGGCCACGATGGCTTTTTATGGAATTGGGGGTCTCTTTATTAGTTTTTATTTGTGGTGGATTATTTTGTGGGATATAGGCGGTGGTTTTGATATCTTCGATAAAAAAAAGAAAAAAGAAGTATGTTTTCTTCGTTGGGGATTTCCTGGAAAAAATCGTCGTATTATTAAAAAAATACCTATGAACGATATTCAATCTATCAGAATAATAACAGGAGTTCAAGAACGAGGTATTTTTACTCGTACTCTTACTTATGAGAGTATCGTTTATATGGAAACAATAGAACAGGGGTTTATTCCCTTGACTCGTATTGAAGATAATTTGACTCCACCAGAAATTGCAAATAGAGCTGGCGAATTAGCTTTTTTTTTAGGTGTACCGCTTCTGTATTGATGAAAATTGGACTGAACTAGAAATAAAATTGCACAAAAAGTTTCAGAATTGTCCTATTTATTTAGTGTACCGATTGAAATATTTTGAAAAAAAAAACTTTTTTGTTTTCAAAATATTTCAATTTTTATAGATGGGACATTCTTTGATTTCGAAATCTGAATATTATAGTCATAACTCGAAGTGCTCCTTGTGTGTTTCCTAAAAAGGAATCCTTTTTTCTTCGAATGTTAGCAATTAATATCCTTTCGAAACAATATTTTTTTCTTCATTGGATTGGAATTTACTGTGAATTCTTTCGATTTCGTATTGGATTTATGTATTCTTTTTTCTAAATTAAAGAAGGCAAAGGCTAACTTCCGAAGTTTAAGTAAAAAAAAAGATAAAATACAATCTAGATTTATCTAGAAGCTCTATAACTTGTAATGAAGCTTATA